AGTCCCATGTAGGCTGGTGGAGTTAATTTCCGCGTGACCTTCCTCGACCACAGATTTGAACAGTTGAACGACGGTTCCGGGGAGTAGGTCTTCTTCTTCAGCGGAAGATCCCAAGTTTGCGAGGGCATCGGCCTCGCAATTTTGCTCTCGAGGTACGTGTACTAGAGTCCATTCTTTGAAGCGACACAACGCGATTTGGATTTTGTCCAAATACCTTTGCATTCTGTCTTCTCGGGCTTCGTAGCTTCAGATTACTTGGCTTACCACGAGGAGCGAGTCGCATTTTGCCTCGACAATCTCGGCTCCCAAACCTTTGGCCAACTCTAGACCTGCAATCATGGCCTCATACTCGGTTTCTTTGTTAGTCAGTTTTATGGTTTTTATGGATTGTCTGATTATGCCGCCGATGGGCGGCTTTAGGACTATACTAAGTCCGGATACCCTTACGTTTGTGGCACCATCTGTGAACAGGGTCCATACCCCGGAGGAAGTGCCTGATTTTAGTAAAAGCTCTTTCTCTACCTCGGGCACGAGGGTTGGCGAGAAGTCGGCCACGAAATCCGCCAGGATTTGGGACTTAATGGCTGTTCGAGGTTGATACTTGATGTCATACCCTCCGAGTTCAATGGCCCATTTGGCCAATCGACCCGATAGCTTAGGTTTATGCAGTACTCCGGAGGGGATAAGTTGACAGGACGCACATACGATGACACTGAAAGTAAGGCTTCAGCTTGCGCGAGGCGCTTATTAGTGCGAGAGCCAGTTTTTCTAGATGGGGGTACCAGGTTTCGGCGTCCCCCCGGTGCGGCTTACATAATAAACAGGAAATTGCGTACCTTGCTCTTCTCGGACCAGTACGCTGCTTACCGCTACTTCGGATACAGCCAGGTACAAGTATAGTGTTTCACCCTCCTCGGGCGTGTGCAGCAAAGGCGGGCTGGACGGGTACTTGTTTCAGTTCTTCCAGGGCGTGTTGGCATTCTGAAGTCCATTCGAAGTTGTTCTTCCTTTTGAGCAGGGCGAAGAAATGGTGGCTTTTGTCCGACGATCTTGATATGAATCTGCCCAGGGCCGCGATCCGCCCCGTCAGTCGTTGAACGGCTTTTACGTTGTTTACCGCCGTAATCTCTTCGATGGCCTTTATTATATCGGGATTGATTTCGAACCCCCTGTTTGAGACCATGAAGCCCAGGAATTTGCCTGAGCCTACTCCGAAGGCGCGCTTCTCAGGATTGAGCTTCATGTTGTATCTTCTGAGGATGTCAAAGGTTTCCTGCAAATGGGTCAAATGGTACTTTGCGCATAGGGATTTGACTAGCATATCATCAATATATACCTCCATTGATTATCCTACTTGGTGCTCGAACATTTTGTTAACTAGCTGTTGGTACGTTGCTCCCGCATTTTTTAGCCCGAAGGGCATTACGTTATAACAATATATATCGTATTTCGTGATAAATGAGGTCTTTCCCTATCTTCGGGGTTCATCTGGATTTGATTGTACCCCGAGTAGGCATCGAGAAAAGTGAGGGTCTCGTGGCCGGCCGTAGCATCGATCAAGCGATCGATATTGGGCAGTGGGAAGGAATCTTTTGGGCATGCTTTGTTCAAGTCTTTATAGTCTACGCACATTCTTAGCTTATTTCCCCTTTTTGGTACCACTACTACATTAGCTAGCCATTCGGGATACTTTACCTCCCTGATGGATCCGATTTTAAGGGGTTTCGCCACTTCTTCTTTGATGAAGGCATGTTTCACCTCGGACTGCGGTCTTCTTTTTTGCTTCACGGGTTTGAATTTGGGGTTAACGCTCAGTCTGTGGGAAGTTATTTCCAGTGGGATACCTGTCATATCTAAATGGGACCAAGCGAAACAGTCGATATTATTACTAAGGAATTGAATAAATTCTGCCCTGAGTCAGGGGTCAGCCCCGTACCTAGGTATACCTTGCGATCCGGGAGGTGTTTGATCAAAATGGTTTGCTCCAGCTCCTCGACTGTTGACTTGGTCGCGTCGGATTCTTCGGGAGCGACGAATGTTCGGGGTGCGAAGAAATCTTCCTCGTCGTCTTCAAGGGTCTGCGCGCTTCCCTCCCCGTCCAAGGCCGGGTATGCAGAGATTGGCGTCTCGTGGTGGACCGCGAACATTTCCCTTGCTGCTTGCTGTTCCCCATGTATGGTCGTGATACCATCCCTGGTGGGAAACCTTATCACCTGGTGCAAGGTCGAGGGCACTGCCCTTATGTTGTGTATCCAAGGTCTGCCAAGTAGGGCGTTGTATTTCATATCACCGTTGATGACCTGAAACTCGGTGTTCTGGGTCGTGCCAAACTGTGTCGATCGGGATAATGATTTCCCCCTTCGTTTCTTCCCCAATCATGTTGAAACCGTGGAGGACCCGAGAGGTGGGGACGACTTGATTGAGCAACCCTAGCTGTCCTACTACTTCTGACCTGATTATGTTGACCGAGCTGCCTGGATCCACGAGCACGCGCTTTATTCTGGTGTTGTTTGAGAGAAACGAGATTACTACCGCGTCGTTGTATGGTTCCATCATAGCTTCGAGATCCTCCTCGCTGAATATGAGGGTTTCTCCACGCAAACGTTCTCGGGCCGACCCCTCCTCCGTAGTGGATGTTCTTGCTCGTTTGGACACGGGTCCTCTGGGGACGTCGGCTCCCCCAATAATCATGTGGACATCGGCCTCTTGGTCGGTCGTGCCCTTTTCCCCGCTGCCTTTGAGGTTCCGGCTTCCCATTTCGCTAGTCGAACCAGGCGCTTCGTCCTGAAAAGGAGATCTCTAGGCGAGAAAAAGCATGAAAGATAACGTGCGTTTGTGCAATGAAACTAGCAAGAAAATAATCACTATTATTTTTAGCCCCACGGTGGGCGCCAAACTGTTTATCGTGAAAATGGTAACGACAATTAAATTTATAAAATGGGATTCTAAAAATACGTGATCTATTCCCAAGCTAGTTGTTAGAGCAGTTGATGCTAATAGTATGGAATTTAACGATGGAGCGCGAGCTAGAACGAGATGATGATCGAACCGAAAGTCCTGCTGCCCGAATATAGGTCTGGCCGATGGGGACTTCGGGTCGAACTCGAGCTATCGGGGATAGTTGAGGATGGGATAACAGTTGAGGATATAATTAAACAAGGCTCTTTATAACCAAAACTAAGTTATATGATAAAGAACATGTATAAAGGCGATGGATATCGAGGTATCCTCGGACCAGTGAGAGCAAATAAGTTTAGAAAGAAGAGAGAGAGAGATATTATTGCACTTGTGGAGAAATGGAGCGACATCAGTTCCTTACAAAGTAATGGGGATCCCCTTTATAGGAGGGGAATCCGTTATGATACAGAACGCGTTAATCATAAAGGTCTGGAGATAGGGCTGCTAGACATGACATCTCAAAAATAGGCCCCGGATTGACCAACCATGTCAGGTCAAGCCAAGGGCCTTGGGAACCCCCCCACCCCCCCACACACACAGGTCATAGCTTGCTGTACTTGTCAGAATACGATATTCTTCGGACCGATGTGTTTATGTCGAGCCTCGAGGATGAATCTCGACCTTGACTTCGAGCTTCGATGGGAATGACCGCGAGATGGTTCTGCAATAGGGGGAATCAGGCCCCCCGATTCAGAAATTGTACCTAAGAGTCCTAGTTGTTATTCACGTATTCAGACTTGAGAGGGGCTAGAGCAATTTACCATTGCATGTGACAAAACTGGCCTCACAAACTTAAGGAAATAGCAGAATGTGATTCTAATTTTGAGTTTCCCCAATTATATGAAAAGAGGGGATAGTTCTTCTGAGTAGACATATATTTCTATTTTCTACTAAAAGTCTACAACTCCGATTACTGTTTTCGTGTTGACATACAAATAGCATCCTAGAACTGCTTGTTACTCTCGGACACCACTGTTATATAATCTGAGTTTGAAGATTGTCTTAAACAATGGACTCTTCTGTATCTCAAGTTTGTTGTACTAAATAAGTGATGGTCTTTGTTTAATTATCAAGGCATTCTACTAACAAGGTAACAGCTGATTTCAGCATTGAATTTACCAACTATTTTCTGTTTTCAGGTGGAAATACCTCGAAGACAAAGCTTATTAGTATCATCATTGGTGTTATAGCACTGTTGGCTGTTGTACTAGCAGGAACTAGTTTTTACCTTGTGAAAAGAAGACGACGAATAGCTAAAGGTAAAAGGTTATTGGTGTTTTGGATTTAAAAGAAAGTAATTCTTTCAGCTAACGGATCAAAAGTTGAATCTTTTCAGATGGGGACGGAAGTAGTCAAGAAACTCAATTGCTCAACATGATAGAAGAAACACTTGCTGAAGACTTTTCGAATGATGATTTTCGCTCAGAAGCGAGGTCCATAGAGTTTCCAGTTGTAAAACTAGACCTCATTCGAGCTGCTACACAAAATTTTTCTGAAGAAAACAAGCTCGGAGAAGGTGGATTTGGTCCAGTGTACAAGGTAACAATCCCTATCATTTATCACGTTGCTAGAGGGGGGCAATTTGTCCAGTCATTTGATGTTGTGTATAACATTCCAGGGAAAACTAGCCAATGGCATAGCAATTGCAATCAAGAGGCTCTCTAGTAAGACTTCTGATTGAGTTTTTCTTTTACCAAAAAATCGAATTTTACATTGTCTGAAATATTTAGAACATAAAGATGTGTCACCTTGTGCCTTTAAGTCCCGCGTTCAGAATATCTCAACATGCAAAGAGGAAGAACTAGCCTGCACATGAGGAGTATGTTGAATACAAATTAAATAAATAAACAAACATGTGCTCTTTCTCTAAAACATTCTTTTAGATGACGCGCTAACAAAATTCAAACATATTCGATATGTGAGAAATTGCAAGCTAGATAGCTGAAGATGATTCAAAAATGTGTTGACATTGTCTAAAACGACATTGTGTTGTAAGATTGATGCTGAAGACCAATTTTTTTTTTTACTTCTACAGTGGATATATGGCCCCTGAGTATGTAATGGAAGGACATTTTTCTACCAAATCAGATGTTTTCAGCTTTGGAGTTCTGGTCCTTGAGATAGTAAGTGGGAGGAAGAACAATGGCTATGTTTCGGAACATGGTCAGAGCCTCCTTAATTTTGTAAGAGTCTTCCTTTTCCATTTTGTGTTTTGAAGTCGGCTTGTTTTTTGTTATGTCAATTTCAACTTGCATAAATCATCCTGATATATTCTTGAAAATATAGGCATGGAAATTTTGGTGTGAAGAGAAAGGATTTGAGCTTATGGACCCTCGCTTATCGCAGTCCTGTGTGGCAGCTGATATAACAAAATGCATCCATATCGGGTTGCTATGCGTTCAACAAGTTCCAGCAGATAGACCTACCATGTCCTCAGTAATTTTTATGCTGGAAAACGACCCTCAAACGCTTCCACAACCATCACAGCCTGCATTTTCCATTGGGCGAAATGTATTGAGATCAGCTGAGCCTAAATCCAATGATCAACTGTGTTCGGTTAATGAAGCCACTTTGTCAATTCTATCACCCCGATGATATATATTTAAATCTTATCTGTTGGAATTTGGACTTACGTTAATTGGATATAACCTGAAAGGATAGTGACGTGGCCCAAGTGGTGGATAAATAAAATGCCTAATATTAAATATTGTGTGTGGATAAGTGAGGCCCAAAAACTATTGGCGTGTGAAGGGTAGACACTCTTTATAAATAGAGGCCAACCCCCCCTTTCCCTAGCTATTAGAAAACCCTAGTGTATTCTGCCTCTTGAATACGTGGTAACGGTAGACATCCCATCAGTCAAGATCTCCGGGCTGTGCGTAGCTAGTGGATTGTGGAAGTTTGTCTCAGGCTTAATCGCCGTTTGCTGTCGCTGTTGAATACATGGAGTTTAACGGTACACTTCCTTAGACTCTAACTCTAGATTGATTGTATAATTGTGTCTTAATCTCTGCTATGGTTACGAATTAATTATCTTACATTATCCAGCTGTTGTTCTGACAATTATAGGGCGTCAATTCTTCCACAAGGGGTCGTTCAGTTGGCAGATAGTTAATGCAGAGATTATCAGACAAAAATTGCAATATAAGGATTAATAATTCCTGTATTATCTAGTGCATATGCATTACTTAGTGGATGTTTGATTCATAGTATTAAAATGGGACATACATTGTATAATCTAAAACATTATTTGGTTTTATACTGGAGAATTTTTATTTCTAGTTACAGCCTTGGAATTGCCCATGGGCATATATGAAGAGAAGGCTTCGGCAGAAGGACAATTTTGTCATTTGGATGTTTTCCCCGATATAGCTAATTCGTGTATTATTTATTTACTAGTATTCGTACCCGCGCGTTGCGCGGAGAATAATAAATATATTTTTTCATAAGAACATGAAAATGCTACAGTATTATTTTTGGAACATATAAATGTAATAGTATTCGTACAATGAAATCATAAGAAAAAACGGTAAAGAAACATACCGTTATTTTTTAAGTCCAATAATATTCTTTATAACTTCAATAAAGTAAGTCATGTAATACCAGCTAAAGTGCCGCAAAGAAATATTTCTATGTCTTGAAAATTCATAAAGACGACAAATATATAGTCTTTCAAAATAGAAAAATCAGGCCTTATAACATGGAGTTATGAGAAAATACCCCACTTGAACAACCTTGTCATCCACAATGTACACACTATATTATAACAACTTCCCTGAGGAGCTTAGGACTAGTTCCAAAGTTGTGATCCCGATGTTGTATGCAATCTTAGCAGCAGAGATGCTCATATCCATGCTCCATGTCAAACCACAACAAATAGGAAAGAATTAAATATAAGAAACTGACATATTTTTTCAGTTGTAGAGGATGTTGCTTCCAAACACCTTCTTCCATCTTTCAATCAGGTTGCGATCTGCATAATCTTGTTCCAAACAGAACTCGTACAATATTTCATTACATCCATAGTAAAGGTCATAAACATATCACTCCTCTTATCTACAATCTTGAATATGGGCCAGAATACTTTACACCTTCTTTTACCATCATTAGGGTCAGACAACTTTCAAAACCTAGATAATAGAATTTAAAGTCAGGAAATTCAATCAACAAAATAAGACCAAAAAAATTACTCAGTGCCACCATGCATCAAATTACTAACCTTATCTCATTTAAAAATTCAATTCATGTAGGTTAGGCTCAATCGACTCTCAACCCTCGGGGTATTTTATAAGATTTGTCTTGACCCTAGGTATCTTTTAACTGCAAATCAGGAAAAAAAAAGAACAAAAGAGAGACTTATTTCATATGCAAGAAAAGATGAAGAGAGTAGTAACAGCCCGCATACTCGCTACATGCACATAAATACAATTTTATAGGTAATTTAAGTTTTTATAGTCAGTAATCAGCATAAAAAAAGGTGCTACATCTGCACAAAATTAAGTTAGTGTGCAATCATTCCCCATAAGAGTACAGGAAAGTGTATGAATTATATTGTATTAATATGATCATCTATCTGGATTTCTATTACTACAAAATTACATATTCTGTAAGTATCTGAATGTTTCCACTAAAGATAGAGTTTTATCCTGAAATATCTATAGTTCCTTTGATTCTAGACTTCCCTATAATTATACAAAGGAGCAATATTGGTAAGCCTTCTCCGACTCTTCTTAATTACGTCCCCGCCACCTGCTTAAACCTAATTAAGGGGGAGGGTATAATAATTCACTGATTGATCATGATCAAGTCACTATCTTTAGTTTTTCTACTCTACCACTATTTTAGTTGATATGCTATTTATATCCAGGTAGTAGTAAAATTTATATTGCAGCATGTATCAATGTCCTTATGTTTGATGTTTTTTGAGAATTCAGATATACTCACTTATATTTGAAGACCAATTTATTTGTCTGATTTATTTCAAACTTTTGATGAGAGATTTCATTGTATGCAAACGGATATTTATGGTTCTATCATCAATCACTTTTTCTATTAACATACATGAGTACACAGAGGATGCTGGAGATGTGACTTTCCACTTTATGTATCTTCCTTCATTGTCATTTGCTTTGGATATATGTGATATATATCCCCATTGTATTTGCAGGAGGAATTATTTTCAATATAATGGTGAACAAAAGAGGTATATAATATTCTCGAAAGTTTCTTAGGCAAAGCATATAAAAGTATGAATTTTGCGTATATGTAGTTCCGATTGAATATGATATAATAATAAAAAATAATACTTCGAATAGAATCGCACACGTGACAGAAAGATCCTTCACAACTGCCACCTATTTAAAGATATTTCTCTAATATTTTGGAAACATAATATCACCAACCACATAAACAGAAGAAATGAAGAAACTTACGTAATCGTACTGCCAGTTATATCAAAGTCCAACTGTATACATAAGCGTTATTTTGATAATCAAGTAAAATCAAGTTGCTTGCGTATTTTGTTTTAACATGTAAAGTTCTATGCTGAGAACTTAATATCTTAACAATACTGATCATTTTATTAGTTTAGACATTATGCAAAAGATTCTCAGTAGAAAAGACGTTACTCTTCATTCCAACTTTTTATATTTTATTTCAAGACCAATTATGCGTATAATTTTCTCATTCACCATATCTGCCTTAAAGGAATGTAGTTAGCAGTGGTAATGAGAATAATCAGAAAATAAAGATTTTTTGTATACATTCTTTTCCATTAAAAGAAGTCAAGTAAAAAAGTTTACCTGAAAACTTTCGCCTGAATAAAAGTTGGAAAGACTCGGAACCTGAGATTTCTAGATTTTCCTGCACTTGCCCGACTTTTCCTGCACAATGCACCTTGAACTTTAGTAAAAAAAATATAGGTTCTTCAATAACAAACTATTAACAATTTTTTGAAGCAAATTCATATGTTTCATATATCCATTGATATATAATGAAACTCCTTTTGTGGAACAATGTTCTATGTATACCTGTCCGACTTGAGCTGTGAGTGTTTCGACTTGTCCTGCACCTGTCTTTAATTATATGCTGGAGTTAAGATTCTTACATCAGTGCTGTCAATAAATATAATGTTCCATACCTCCATCTATATGTAATGAAACCTCTTTTGAGGAATAACTTTTCATGTATACCTGTCCGACTTGAACTGTATGTATATATGTGAGTTGTGACTAACTGCTAGTTTTTTTTTTCTTTTGCAGCAAATTCAAAAGAGATTATCATCATCATCAAAGGTTCTATGATATCCATTGCAATCGGTTGCTAAATCCAAGGAGAGAAACCACCTTTGACTGATTCTCCAACTCTCGGCTCCTAGAAATCATACTTCAAGGTTGTGTAGCAAGAATATACTCAGAGTAAAAGAAAATGGAAAAGAATTTGGAAGAACAAAACACGTAAATATTACTGTGTGTAGGAAAAGATAGGAGAAGTGGAGAACGTGAAGGTACACTATGCGAATCCCACGTTTGGGAATTATGCAGTTGTGTACTTAATTTTCAGGGTTATTTTATTTTCATTTTTCTTTTTTTTTTCTTATATTTGTGTACAAAGTATTAAGTAGTATATTAAGTATAAAAATAAAGTTCCAATTAAAAGTTTTGGAATTGGAATCGGAAGAAAGAAACGTGGGAGAACGAAATACTTTTATTTTTTTTAGTTGGGCAGTTTAATTGACAGGAACTGCCAGGTATAAAGTTTTATCTTTTTGAAAAAAAAAACTGCCATTATTAAAAAAAAATACCTTTAAAAAAAATTTCGAAACTCCAACAAAGTTGGAGATTTGTCCTAAAAACTTACACGTGTCAACTTAATGTTATGCCATTTGTCATTCTATCCTTCTTTTGCCTCTCCTATTATATATAGATAGATTTCACATTGGATTTGGTATCAAATGATAGAAGGATTCTTGTAAAAAGTTATGGAGTCCATTACTTAGATAGTCAATGAACTATATGAAATTATAGATGAAAATTACTTTTCTTTCATTTGTAACAACAAAGTTACTCAACTATTCCTATTACACTCTAATGACCACTTAATCCGATTATTTATTTTTCGATAGAAAATTATTGACTTGGCAGTTCACATGGATTTTTTTTTTATATTTTCGGACTAATTAAAATAATTTATAAGCAAATCATAGAAACTCAGTCACACATCCGACCCGAACCGACCCGGCCAAATTTACTCATCTTTATAAGCAAATTCCAATATTCGAACTAATAATACTACAAAGCTATTTTTTATATAACGGGTCAAAGGTGTTTTTTAATTTATATAGGTTTGAGAAACGAAGAAACAACTGTTCTTTTATAAAACTAGTCTCTATAAACGTGCGTCGCACGTTATTACTAATCATATCAAAAAAGTTATTTAATATTATTTGTAACTACATCATATTTGTTTTATGAAGTACAAAAATGTTAGTATTACGATGATATGCGTTTGATACTTCTTAATTTGAAAAGACATCCTATATTCCTTTATTGCTTTTATCCTTGTGTGAGAACATGTTATGACAAATAATTTGATAT